AGAACACATCACCCCCGCCATAAACGAGGGACCACTGTATTTTTCACTTCTCTTTTTCTCATGGACGACTCACCACTTGGTTTTCGCTTTTGTTGCTGCTTCGAAGGGAACGTTTAGAAATAACATGTAAGAAAGGATTTATTTCCAGTTTGAGCGCTAGTTTTTTGTACGCTAGTGTAACATTTTACTTCTTGAAAAAATGTCTGATGACCTTTAAAGCAGCAGCTCAAAGAAGAAAAGAAAATGTCTGATGGAACAGAGCAGCTCTCTCTCCATTGGTATTATCGTCTATAGTTTTATATATACATAAATGTGGTGTGTAAAGACTTTAATTTTATTATTATTATTATTTTCACTCACGGATTAGCTGTGGATATTAACAGCATATAACAACTCATTTATCAATCATATTTTTACACAAACTTGTTAAACTTTTATTTCTTCTGATTTTCTGAAATTCACTTGTTCACTTGTTGTGTAGCGTACGCAAAAGAAAAGAAATTTAGGGACTTAACTTTAGTCATTCATTGTGTGTGTGTGCGTGTCATATTGCTGCTATGTGTGTTGCTGAAGCGTACTGAAGCGCTCTTGTTTTTTTTGTATTGTGTGTGTGTGTGTGTCTATGTCTATGTTTCTGTGTGTGTCTGTGTGTGTGTGTGTGTGTGTGTCTATGTCTATGTTTCTGTGTGTGTCTGTGTGTGTGTGTGTATGTCTATGTTTGTGTGTGTGTCTGTGTTTCTGTGTGTATGTGTCTATGTGTGTGTGTGTGTGTGCGTCTGTGTGTGTCTGTTTCTGTGTGTATGTGTCTATGTGTGTGTGTGTGTGTGTGTGTGCGTCTGTGTTTCTGTGTGTATGTGTCTGTGTGTGTGTGTGTGTGTGTGTGTGTGTGCGTCTGTGTTTCTGTGTGTATGTGTCTGTGTGTGTGTGTGTGTGTGTGTGTGTGTGCGTCTGTGTGTGTGTCTGGGAGGAGATTGGATTAATATAAGATTATTGCTTCATCCAATCCCTGCTCAAACCATGTAAAAAGGTATTTTTGTTTTTATTCTATTTCTCTCTGAATACATCTTTGAACATCTTGTATATTGTACATATTTTAAATAATGAAAATACATGAAATTACTCACACAATTAGCCACGTCTTTTATCAAATACTGCCCTGACAAGGTTTTGAATTATTTCATTTTTACATACATTTTTGGACAAGTGAATCCTTCTAGAAACTGAGGGAATTTCATCAAAAATCTTCACAATATTTCCACATTTTTTCCACGCACAGGCCATTCCAAGAGCTTCAATTTGCGTCATCAAATATTTTCAATGGACATTTTCTCTTCTTCTTTTGTAAAAACCTGTCAAAGGAAATCTCTGCCTGATTTCTTTTGTGCTCAAACTCATTACAATGTTTTTCTTTCTTTCTAAAATTGCGCATCATTTTGAAACGGCAGTAAATCTCTCCCTTCTCCCCCTTTACTGTAGCGCCGAGCTGTAATGAGGCCTTTCTATCCCTGTGGAAGTAGTGCTAGTAGGAGTGATATTTGTAGTAGTAGTAGTAGTAGTAGTGATATTTGTAGTAGTAGTAGTAGTAGTGATATTTGTAGTAGTAGTAGTAGTAGTAATAGTAGTAATGAGATTTGTAGTAGTAGTAGTAGTAGTAGTAATAGTAGTAGTGAGATTTGTAGTAGTAGTAGTAGTAATAGTAGTAGTGAGATTTGTAGTAGTAGTAGTAGTAATAGTAGTAGTGAGATTTGTAGTAGTAGTAGTAGTAGTAGTAGTAGTAGTAGTAATAGTAGTAGTGAGATTTGTAGTAGTAGTAGTAGTTGTAGTAGTGATATTTGTAGTAGTGGTGATATCTGTAGTAGTAGTGGTAGTAGTGTTATATGTAGTAGTAGTAGTAGTAGTAGTAGTAATATTTGTAGTAGTAGTAGTAGTGATATCTGTAGTAGTAGTAGTTTTATCTGTAGTAGTAGTAGTAATAGTAGTAGTGATATTTGTAGTAGTAATAGTAGTAGTAGTGATATTTGTAGTAGTAGTAGCCGTAGTGGTGTTATATGTAGTAGTAGTAGTAGTAGTGATATTCGTAGTAGCAGTAGTAATAGTAGTAGTAGTGATATCTGTAGTAGTAGTGTTACATGTAGTAGTAGTAGTAGTAGTAGTAGTAGTGATATTTGTAGTAGTAGTAGCCGTAGTGGTGTTATATTTAGTAGTAGTAGTAGTAGTGATATTTGTAGTAGTAGTAGTGATATCTGTAGTAGTAGTAGTAGTGAAATCTGTAGTAGTAGTAGTTGTAGTAGTAGTGAAATCTGTAGTAGTAGTAGTAGTAGTAGTGAAATCTGTAGTAGTAGTAGTAGTAGTAGTAGTAGTAGTAGTAGTGTTATATGTAGTAGCAGTAGTAATAGTAGTGATATATGGAGTAGTAGTAGCAGTAGTAGTAGTAGTAGTGATATAAAGAGTAGTAGCAGTAGCAGTAGCAGTAGTAGTAGCAGTAGTAGTAGCAGTAGTGATATATGGAGTAGTAGTAGCAGTAGTAGTAGTAGCAGTAGTAGTATTCCCGCGGTACTGCAGCTGGATGGAGCACAGGCGTGTGGCACTGAGGTTGGCACAGAGTAAAAGGCAAAGATTTAAAAAGTACAAATGAATTATTGACGACCGTGAGCAGGACATGAGGCGTCTCCTCTTCACCGTCCAATCCACTGTAACCGGCTCCAGCTATTTTATTCTTATTTTTTTATTCTTTCATGCAGATCTGTGTAGCACTTTATCCTCTAATCTAAGCTCTTTGTGTTTTGGTGTGTGTATAATTATGTGTCGTTTATAGTAATAATATAGTGTATTTTTTGTAATGTATTTACACATAAAAATGTAAAAAAAACACAAAACAAATGTAAACATGCACTTGATTGGCCCCTCTTGAGAAATGTGTCCTCTGCTTTTGGCAAATTCTTGTATATAGCAATAATTGTTATGTATTTTTTAGGACTGCCTTATTCTTTTTTTACTTTTATGACTTGTCCGCACCCGGAGCCAAATCCACTTCCTGGTTTGTGACTTCCTGCTGTATTCTTATTGGTAGAATGACCAATGTTTTAAATGACGAATTATTAGTTTTACATAATTAAAGCAAGAGATTTACAAGAATAAACTTTGGTAACTTAGACTCCATCCTGAAATTTGGCAGAATTAAATTTAAAAGTAAAAAATCCCACAAACTAACGCTGAACAGGACTTATTCAAAGCAGATTTCTTCAGAGACACGACTAACCTTGGAGAAAATGACTAATATTTTGAACCAAAGTCGACTTTCTCTGCAGTCATTTCAAACCAGACCAGCCTCGAACTTCCTTTTTATGAAACTGAATCTATATTTACATTAAAGTCAACAAATCCAGAGCACGACTTCTATGATGAACTTTTAATTTCCTCTCCGCAGAGACACTTTCTTTTCAGCCGAGGAGTAATTGCTTCTTAATTAATTACTCACAAAAGTGTGTTCTTACAGCGAGAAACTTGCCACTTTAGATGAGATTTACAGGAAAGGTTTAGCTGCGGAAAATGTCAACACCGACAGAGTATTCCTAATAAAATTACTTAAAATTTAATTATCTTAAATAATGAATCCGCTGAAATGTTGAAATTCCCTTGAGAAGGGTCGAATAAAGCTTTATTTTATCTTAACTTATGTTTTCTTAGGGCACAATCACACTTTGAGAGTCCAATTCTAGCTGTGAAAGCACCAAACAAGTGTTGGTTGGTTCAACAGTCACAGTCTCAGTTAAAGCTCGGGTACCTAACTTTCAAACTAACCCTCCCCCGAGGATTTGTAAGACTTAGCGTCCTCCTTCTGTCCATGTTGAACAAATGTAAAACACAATATTTATCATGTACTGTATGTATGTGTACAGTATATATGTATGTATGTATGTGTACAGTATATATGTATGTATGTATGTGTACAGTATATATGTATGTATGTATGTGTACAGTATATATGTATGTATGTGTACAGTATATATGTATGTATGTGTACAGTATATATGTATGTATGTGTACAGTATGTATGTATGTATGTATGTGTACAGTATGTATGTATGTATGTATGTGTACAGTATGTATGTATGTATGTATGTATGTATGTATGTATGTATGTATGTGTACAGTATATATGTATGTATGTGTACAGTATATATGTATGTATGTGTACAGTATATATGTATGTATGTGTACAGTATATATGTATGTATGTGTACAGTATATATGTATGTATGTATGTGTACAGTATATATGTATGTATGTGTACAGTATATATGTATGTATGTATGTGTACAGTATATATATATATGTATGTATGTATGTAACAAGGACAAATGAATAAATAAATAAATGTTATGTAAACTTGTTTTGCCAGGAGGTCCCGATACTGTCCATTCTAATAATGATTCAATTAGTAGCCTTTGTCTTTGCATGATCTTTCTGACTAATAATTTACTTCCCGTCCCAAATAACAGAGCTGTCACGGGTCAAAAGTCCTCAAAATGGCACTTAAGCAGTTCTTTCAAACCCTTGGACCCGACATCTTACGCCTCAAGTCTTGCTCCCGGCATAAAACACTATTTGTTCCATATTATGGGACCCTGAAAAGGCTTAGCACCAGTTTGAGGCGGTCCATCCAGAGTCAGTGCCGGGGTCAGATTTCGGCTGCGTCCATAAGAAAACCAAAAGAAGACAGTTTCATAGATGCATTTAGTGTCAGGATGTGTGGATATTGCACTGAGCTGGTGAAAAAAGGTGCGCTCCAATATCAAAACTTAATCAAATTCACTTGATATGATTCGTTTTTTTCTCTTTTAACTGTTGTTTTATATAATTTCAAAGACAGTTTTTGAATTCAAGTCATTTTCAGTGCTGTAAATAGCGTCGTTTTTTGTCGTTCTACAGTGTAGTTCAAACCCAGAGTGGAAAGCAGAAGTGGAGGTTCGCAGGTGCATTGTGGGAGGTGTAGTCCGTCACATGGCCAGGACTCGGGCTTTGGCGGCGGCGGCCTGAGCTCTCTGCACCACGGCGGGGCAGCCTTCTCTCCGCACCAGCTGACCCGACTCGAACAGACCCTCGTGGACCCCTCCTGCTCCGCCGTCTGGGAACGTCAACGCTCCTGTCGCACAAACGCACAACTATATTTACGGAGAAGATAAATGTGTTTTTAAGAATTATGGATATTGTATTTTTTTTTGCATTTACATTTATTTACCCGAATTCACATTGTAGTAATGTCATTTGCATACTCTCTATATTCTCTTTCAAATATTTGTAAAATCACCGACAACGTCTCTATAAATGACACATAATTATACACACACCAATACACAAAGAGTTTAGATAAGACAATATACTATCAAGGCTCCTGTCACACAAACACACAACTTTATTTAGAGAGAAGATGATGGGTTTAGAGCAGGGGTCTCCAACCTGTGGCTCGGGAACGACCAGTAGCTCTCCAGCTCCTTTCAGGAAGCTCGCCAAAGGATTTAGAATTTAATAAATGATCTTGAATGATAACATTTCGAGCCATTACATATCTATTATAAGTATAAATATTGTATAGGGTTATACAGTTATGGTATTTTTGACATGTGTTCTCCATGTTTTGTCATAATCATTAGATAGATTTTTAGTACGACTGCAAAAAGTAGTCGCTCTCTGCCTCTTCTTTTGTGTTAAAGTAGCTCTCCTATAGAAAAAGACCCTGGTTTAGAATTATGGATACATTTATCCATAATTTATCCGTGCCGCCATACATGGGCGGCACGGTGGCTGAGTGGATAGCACTCTCGCCTCTCAGCAAGAAGGTCCTGGGTTCGAATCCCGGCCGGACCAGGGCCTTTCTGAGTGGAGTTTGCATGTTCTCCCCGTGTCTGCGTAGGTTTCCTCCGGGTACTCCGGTTTCCCCTACCACTAAAAATATGTACAATAGGTCTGGCATGCGCCTCCTGTACTGGCGACCCCGCTACCATCTCTGTGTGGAGTGAGAGACAAATGCCCAAAAATAATAACAATTGTAAACCGCTTTGTGACTCTGGTTTGTGAAAGGCGGTATATAAATAAAGATTACTTACTTACTACTTACTTACATTTATTCTGCATTAAATTTTTGCATGCATTACAGCACGCTTTAAATCATAAGTTGAGGGACCACAGCGGTGTGCAGTAAATTCGAGTAAAGACACGGGGCCGGCATCTGAACTCCAAATATCTGTAGAACAACTTTTAGCTGAACATTCCCTTCGGTAGATTTACACAACGCCGTAAGCTCAGTTCTAGCCTGGTCGTACCACACCATAGTACAAATTACATTTCGCACTAAGGTCTGGAGGTGCTCCATTGAGCTCTGTTAACAGGTGGGAGGGGTTAACTCCTTTTGTAGATTGAAACGATTGGATCTGAGTTTACCGTGACGTATGTAATGCACCGAGTGAGTTGTTAGCATTTAGCATTTAGCCTAGCCATCTCCTTTGCCGCTAACGGAGCCCGTGGGGGGTTAGGGTTTGGGAGTAGCGCCACTATCTTTGCCAGCGATTACATTTGCAAAACATTCCTATTGCTCCGGCTTCAATTTCTTGATAAAACCAGACCGGATTACTTTACTACCCCATTTTTCGCCATTGCCAAACTACAACCTGCCCGTTTGGCGCAAACTCTTGACGTCACCCACATCTAACTACAACACCCGCCTCCCGCGCTCGCTGATTGGTCGGATGGAATTCAACAGTTTGTAATCGCAAACACAGGGACCAGTTCCATGCACAAATGCTAGATCAGATTTGTGGTTTTGAATGTACCGCTGCTGCTCCCACCTCCCAATCAACATGTTGCATAGTCCTTGTTGGGCGGCAGTAGCTCAGTTGGTAGAGTGTTGGCCTTTGAGCCAGAAGGTCATGGGTTCAAGCCCCGCTCAAGACTTTCACCATCGACTCCCCCTGACTACTGTCGTTGTGTCCTTGGCAAGACACTTAACCTCTGGGAACCCTAGCCACAGTGGGGCGGCTGCGGCTGTAAAGTGCCAAACTGCCGTTGTGTCCTTAGGCAAGACACTTCACCCCCATTGCCTAGAATGAGTCTGGTGTGTGTGTGAATGGTTGGTGGTGGTCGGAGTATGGCACATACTGGTTGCCTCGCTTCTGTCAGTGTGCCCCAGGGCAGCTGTGGCTACAGTAGTAGTTTATCACCACCGTGTATGGAGTGAATGAATAATGACACATGTGAAGCGTCTTTGAGTGTCCAAAAAAGCGCTATATAAAACCGATGCATTATTATTATTATTGTTTTCTAATTACAAACTAATAGCCACATAAACACAGCTCTGAATCTGTACCGTAACTTTAAATTATTACGTGCGCAGTTACTGTAAACTGCTACTTCACAACAACGGCTGTAAAAATCGGGCAGATAAGCAATCAGATAAGCTATTCAAACTAATACAATAAAATCAGTCAAAATACATATAACTTTTGAACTTGTATTGGTTATAATGTAATGGTTGCTGTGTTTTTGGCTGGGTTTTTACACTTAACACCAAAGGACAAGGGTCTGTAGAGCCAATACCGGCACATTTATAGTATTGTTGATTAATGTGTACTGTCCCTATTCAAACTAATACAATAGAATACATATAAAAAACAGTGAAAATACATATATTCCAAAGTTATAATAAAATATGAGCTTGTGTTATTGCTTGGACAATCACCAATTTCACAAGTTAAATGCAGTCTATCTGAGTTCGGATTCCTAATCTTGTAATAACTCAGACCAGATTGAGAATGTTCATAAATATATGATTTACACAGAACTCCTGAAAGCACAATGTCTATACTTTACACATCTAGATTCTGAGAAAAAGAGCATAAAGCTTTAACTACCTCCACACATAACACCTCATTCTGACCATCTCTCTCTTCTCCCTATTGTCCTCCACCTCTCCACACACTCTCGTTTTTTCTCTTGAAAGAAGAAGAAGAAAGTGAAGAGATCTATCTATTTTTACAGCCGTCCTCTGGTTGTCACAGCGACACAAAGTTCACCTCTGATACGACAGATTTGCCAGAAAACAGTAAAAAAAAAGAAGTAAAAACGTGTTGATTGCCGTCGATGCGGAAGGAGGGCACCGCAGGGGAGAGCGACCGAAAAAAATCTCACAATTAACACTTGACTATGTTTAATGTAATTACAGCATTTAGAGACAGAACAAAGCCTCGGCCCAGCGGGACGCACACACACATACCTGCACAGAGGATCCAGACGGGAGAAAAGAGGAAAATAAAATACCTTACACTAAAAAGCACAGCGGTGATGACCCAGGACACACAACATTCAACAACATTTATGGATTTTTAACAACATTCATGGACATTGGTCTCTGCCCCTTATGGACCAATTTCTCTATGTGTTTTCTATCATTGCATTTCTTTTGCGTGTTTGATTCTCTAATCTGTGTTGGCGAATTCAAAGATTTTGTAAAGTCCTCCGAGATAACTACTGTTGTGATTTAGGGCTGTACAAGAATACATTGATTTGAATTGAATAGGTCAGTTTAAAATATAATTAATTATGAGGTGATTTGATGGTTTGAATCTAGCGGTTTTTATCTTAATTTGAGTTAATTCTGACCGTGTTAAAACAAGATTTGCAAATGGGATTAAGATGTTTAGTCTTATTTCAAGAACTGTTGCTTTATTTTATTCTCTAATATTTATTTTATTGTTTGTTTATTTATGTATATAAATAATTATTTTCATTTGAATTTTTTTTATTTTAACTGTTTTTATTTTATTTTAACTGTTTTCATTGTATTATACTATAATTCATTTTATTTTATTATTTCAATTTAATTATTTTTTATTTTATTTAATTTTTAATTGTGTTTATTTAATTTATTTAATTTTAATTTATTTAATATCAATTTACTATTTTACTTAAATAAAATAAAATAAATAAAATAAAATAATTTATTTTTCATTTAACGCTGGCAGACTTGTATATTTGGATGCGTTACTTTTATCTGCGCAGGACTTTGGAGAGGTGTTTTTTTAAATGTTCTATATAAACAAAGTGGATTGGATTCCAAAGAAGACATTTCTTATATGTTTTTTAAAAAAACAGATCATTTTACTTTCTCCCATAGGCAAATTGTTTTGAGGCTGAGTCAGAATGTGCTCAGATCTGAAAAAACCTGCACTGCTATTGCCACTTTTTTGTACATACTGTAATTATATCCTGCACAGACTTAACCTTTAACATGTTGCACACTTCCGTCTTTTGCACAATCTGAGGGATTCTATCTGCGCCGCATGCGACATATACAATTCTCCAGTGTGAGGTCAATAAATCTATCTTATCTGATCTTATCTCAAATTAAAATACATTATGCCAAATTTGACCATTTTTGACTTATTTTCATCACTTGCTGCGGTGCCATATTCATTTTATTTACGTAATTATTCTTCCTGGGGTCCACTCCACGTAAAATGTTTAGGACGGTAAATTTCTCCAGTGTGAGATCAATAAAGTCAATCATATCTTATCTTGGTTGGCTCTCATTGCCACCCCCCGACCCAGAAATGGACTAATAAAGGGGCAGAAAATGACTGAATGAATGAATGAAAAGCTTATCTTATTGTCGTCTGAAAGATAAGCAGAAAAACAGTAAGTTAGCGACGTTATTCCCTTGACATGTTTTGCCGGAATCTTCTGAGAAAGACTGAAGTATTCCGCGAAACATGATCAAGGCAATAACGTCGCTAACTTACTATTGTCCGGTAGAAGAAAAACCAAAGAACCTTCACCTTTAAACATTTCAAACATTCAGCATAAAATACTCTGAAACTGAATGAAATATTTCACATCATCCTTCAACATTCATTCGAGCATTGTGGTCTTATCTTTTCATTTAAAATATATTTATTATTAACACTTGACTTTGCTTTGAAGCCACAGACAGAGGATTTTGAGCAGCTGAGGATCGAAATAAAACTGTACTCACTCAACTCGACTTTAAATAATAATAACAAAATCTCGAGGACTGACCTGATGATGTCACATGTTGATGGCAATAACCGCTGAGTTTTTCTACAAACAAATGTGGATGTATTGATTTTATTTTCTATGTTATTAATATTTTTTGTGATCTTGTTTGTTTTTAATCATATTTTTAAATCGATTTTGTTAATGTTTTTGTAGTTTTTAAAGTTTACGATTTATGCCTGATGTGATATGGGTTGTTAGGCCTTGTGTAGACCTACGCCGACACGGGGAGAACATGCAAACACCACACTCCTTGCTGAGAAGCGGGAGTGCTGTAACACCCACTTTGACAATAACAAACATGCTGGTGTTTCTATAATGATCTGCTGTGAGAGGCCAGTAACAAAACATTGAAGACGTTTTGTATATTTGTTTGAATCAAAATAACGCTGCTGTGCAAGAACTTTGGGTATTTTTAGTTTCAATCAATCCAAAACGCATCGAAATGATAGCATATTGACATAGGATGACAGTACCCATGGTGACCCTAACCCTAACCCATACCTTAAGTTACACATACAGCACACATGCAAGCCATTAAATACAGCGACAGAGAATAATGTGAGATTCCTCCATCGCAGCTCACGCACGTAAAGCTTCCAGACTAGTAAGGGCTGATAAAGGCAAGGAGAGTTTATACGTATAGCACAGTTCATAACCAAAAAGTGCTTAACAAAACAAGTCAGGAAGAATCACAAATGCCACATAAAAAAGTACTACATTTTCTGCTCTCTTTGACACATGGCCGTCAGATTAATACAATTAGAATAGTTGCAGTACAATAATGATAATAATCTAGTTATTCTATTAGAAATAGCAAAACAAATGATTCATATAAGAAATACAATAAGGCATCAAAACCAACCATTCCAGATACTTACTTGCTTTGTTATGTTTTTAATTTTTTTTGTATCCATCCATCCATCCATTTTCTACCCCTTAGTCCATTCTGGGTGGCAGTCAGAGCTGCACCCAGTACACTTAGGCCCTGTCCCAATTCTCCCTAAGAATTGGGACACCCCTGGATCTAGGGGACAGTATGCAAATGACGCAGCAGACGTGTTCCACGTCACACACATGATCTAAGTGTCTGATTTCACCACAGATAAGATCTGACACAGATATGACAAACACTGTACTTATTAAAATTAGATGTTTTTAATTCTATTTCATATGAAGTTTTGCTATAATTAGGCACTCAGAGACACATGCACATGCACATACGCGCACAGAGACGTACCACACAGACAGACACATGCACATACGCGCACAGAGACGTACCACACAGACAGACACATGCACATACGTGCACAGAGACGTACCACACAGACAGACACATGCACATACACGTACGTGCACAGAGATGTACCACACAGACAGACACATGCACATACCAGTGGGGTCGGGTCCCAGCTCAAAAGTGGCCAAAATGATGTGCGCTGACATGCTTGTAATACCACCCCGGGCCGATGGGGGTGGACCCAGAAGAAGAATTAGACAATGCTAACATATAGCATTGGCAGACCTCTCAAAAACGTCTTTACAGGATGGACCAAAAGTTGGCTCTTGGCAGCTCCGTTCCACATGTGTGTCAATGCTGAGGGGGGTGGATTTTTTTGGTCCACTCTAGTTTACTCGCGGTGAATTTTGTAAGTCTCTCGTTCAAATGAATGGAGTTGCGCCGGCTGCACCCTTGCACTCCCGTGGGCACGCGCAAACGCTAGGGCAAGTGTGCTTTTTAAGGGCAAGGGGGAGAATTGGGACGGGGCCATAGCACCATCCCCTCACTGATCCTCCTGCAGGTGGTGAGTCCACTGGAGCCTTGATCTTACAGTTGGGGCTTCAGGTAAAGCGGGGTTAAGTGTCTTGACCAAGGACACAACGACAGCAGACATCAGTGGGAGTCGGTGGAGAAGGCCTTGTGGCGGGCTCGAACTCACTACCTTCTGGCTCAAAGGCCAATGCTCTACCAACTGAGCCACTGCCCCATTTTTTAAAATTATACTGGTAATTTATAGCTATTGTGCTAGCATCGCAGTACTAGCAGACCCCACCCTGCAGAGCTTCCTCGATCAATAACCTTTCTCATTTCTCTTCAAAACAAATCAATCAATAAATCAGTCCTATTCTATTTTCTTAAGTTATCGTTTCATTAGTGAATATATCTTAGAGACAGCTTTGAACCCACATATTTTTGTAAAACTGTCCGAACGCAGAAGCCTATACTTTCAAATGAACATGGACTAGAAAGACTATAAGATTGCTAAAGATTCTATACAGCTGGAATTAGCATGAAAGTTCACCTCCTCAAACCCAAACAAGCCTCTACATCAGCGACATCAGAGGGAGGATAGGCGAGCGGTGATTACAGAAGAGAAGGCCAAGTCTCGAGTGATTCTGATGGAAGTTCACGGCAGAGGTCGGTCTCTTGGTTACAGACGTGTTAGTAAGACAAAAAATTTAAATGAAGACGAGCAGCCGGAGGGGGAGGGGCTTCAATCAGGGAAACTGCATTAAATCTGCATTAAGATTCCACAGGAGAAGCCAATATGTGCGTTGGTATTAATATTAGATTAGCCTGTTTGTCTGTGTTCAAGGAGACATTTCAATTTGAGCTTGGGGTGGAATTTTTGCATGGGCAGAGACAAATATCTGTTGTATAGCCGTAAATTACAACAGTAGTTATCATGGAGGACTATACAAAACCGTCAAATTCGCCAAATTTGGTTAAAACACAAGAAATGCAATGATCAAAAAACACATTGAGCGATTGGTCGATAAAGACCAATGTCCATAAATGTGGATAAATGTCACTGAATGTCGAGTGTCCTGGATCAAGTGGAGGCATTTTAAACCAAAAAGCAATACACAATGCACTGTATAAATGTATTTAAATTGTGGATAGAACCACTGCAGGGATATTACAGTATTTACTTTCAATGCTGGTGCTCAGAAAAGCCCTGTTCCGACTGGGATCCAACCCAGGACCTTCTTGCTGAGAAGTGCAAACCACTCCATTTTCCGCCAAATCCGCCATTTTTTTTGGGTAAAGTTTAAGTATAGATTAACTGTTTGTTTATGAAATATATATTGTTCTGAGTCCACACTCTTTTTAATGTGCAATTATTTATGTTTTATCAGTGTATAATTTTAATGTGTCGCTTCTTGTTTTGACTTTGAGTTGCCTTATGTATAATCTGTGCTGTACCAATAAACTTGCCTTAAGCCAAGTAATAATATCTTTGAATGATGTATTTAGTTATGATTGTACAGATGGATGTGTTGCTGGACACCTGAATTTCTCCTACGGGGGAAGAACAAAGTATCCATCTTTGTATGACACACAACTAAAGGCAGATACAAGTCCTGCTCCTCTGGTTGTAAAAGTCCTGATTCTATCCATCTACACCTCCTTTAAGCTTGTCTATAGTTTAATTAACACATTTGAGCTTTTGAATCATAAGTTTTTGGAATATTCAACCTCCATCTATCCAGTGATCAACACTTTATCACAGACCCACGTCCTTTTCCTCTGGTTGTAAAAGTCCTGACTCTCACCGTATCCTTCCACGGATCCTCCTTTGAATTCTCCCTCGAACTTCATGCCGTCGAAGCGAGTGAAGACGCCGCCGCCTTGAAATTTCCCCTGCACAAACTCGCCTTCGTATCTACCACGAGACAAACACATAAAAGCAGCTGCGTTAAGTGAGGAATGCTTTTAGCTTCAACAGCTTTGTCCCTACTATCGACCCAAACAATGCAGACAATCACAAAGGAGAAAGGAGCACAAACCCGCGAGCTGTCGGGAATGATGTTTTCTTTTAGATTTATTTATCATACGGTATAAAAAGTTTTGTTTGAGGAATGTTTTTGTTCTTAAGAGGAATTTTGTCACAACAATAAGTGAAATTGTGACATTATTTGACCATACCATACAAATGTGCACTCCAAATAAGCAAAAAGAAGTTGAAGAGAACAAGTATTATGCAAATTTATTCTTCATTTTGATCCTTAAACATGATCTTGAGAATATTTATTTTGATGATTCGACTTTAGTGTTGTTATGGATGAGGGAAGTGTAGTAAGTAAGTAAGTAATCTTTATTTGTATAGCACCTTTCACAGACAAAGGCCACAAAGTGCTTCACAACACAGTAAAACATCACAAAATTAAATACAATATAAAAAGGGTCAAAACAACACAGAAATCGTATCAGCCCAAAAATAGCTAATTAAAGGCTTGAACAAATAAATGAGTCTTAAGATTGCTTTTAAAAGTATCAACAGAGTCAGCAGAGCGCAAAGAGGGCGGAAGATTGTTCCAAAGCCTGGGAGCAACAGCCTGGAAGGATCGGTCACCTCTTGTACGAAAACAAGTGCGTGGAACCTTTAGCAGATTTTGATCCACAGACCTCAGAGCCCGAGCCGGGGTGTGAGGCTGGATCAGAAAACTGAAGTAAGAAGGAGCTTGACCACGCAAGGCTCTGAAAGCTAGAACCAAAATTTTAAACGTGATCCTATAGGACACTGGCAGCCAATGAATGTTTTAAAATAGGAGATATGTGGGTCCTCCTGTTTGTGCGGGTCAGAATTCTCGCTGCAGAGTTTTGCACTAGTTGCAGTCGAGAGAGCTCCTTCTTATTAAGACATGAAAACAAACTATTACAATAGTCTAAACGTGAAGACACAGATAGTGGGAACTATCAGGACATTATAGGAGAGAATCTGAATCTTATGTTACTACAGTGTTTCTGCTTCCACAAAAAAGACTTTGGATTGATAAATTAATGTGATAAACGATAATATTTAAGTGACTTCATGCCACCGTCGCAAGTACAATAGACTAAAACAGTTTCAGAATTAAAAAGCAAGCCAGATAATAAACAGCAGAATTCAGTTTTATCCATAATGGACACTCAACGCCCAAAATGTTCAGCCTTTACAAAGAATATAGCAAAAATCTCCCCATTAAGTCCAGCGGCTTCACTTCGACCTCTTCCGTGTCCAATTTGGATTTGTGTTTTAAATAGTTCCACCCTCGCTGTGAGATGGAGCGGTTCCACAGGTCTTTCCTTCCTGCTGCTGTCAGACTGTACAATGAAAACTGCTGAGCCTGTACATGTCATTCATCTGTAAATAGTCAATACTGCAATCATGTGCAATACTGCAGTTTCAGAATGTCAACTGAATGTTACTTTATGTACTTTTTACCCTACTCTATGTGTATATAACTTTCCACTATATATGTAGATAGAGATATATTGATATTGAAGCATTCACAGCTAGCTAAGAAACAAAGCAGCTACTTATTTTGTATATTTTGTGTGCTCCCTGTGTGCTCTTGCTACTGTCCTGTATGTGCGCTGCAACATTGAAATTTCACCACTGTGGAAAAGGTTAAAGGTTCTTTTCCATTCCATTCCATTCTTATTATTAAACCATAGGCAATTATACGCATTTTTAACTTCAGCCTCCTCCTTTTAAACTCTATATAGTTCCTAAACATGGTCTTCTTGGCTGTATCAACTGTATGTATTGTTCTGAGCCCAAACATACAATAAGAACTGAACTATAGCGTTGGAAAATCATATCCACGGAATGAACTTTAAAGTGAAAAAGACAAAGTTCAGGTTGAGATTTGCTTTTAATGCGTGTGTTTATTAAACTGGTAGGCGCTAAAGTTTCCGTACATTTTCCTTACATTCTTTTATTTATTTCAGCTATTCAAAGTAGTCCTCGATCTCTTTTACAGTTTCAGGGCTGCAGCTTTTGTCTGTTTCACATCACATCTCTTAAAAAAATAAAAGCTTTAAAAGTGCCAGACACAGACAAAGCTGCTTTATTTGTGAAAGGTTGTGAGCAAACATCAGAAAGAACAGGTGTGATAAAATAGAACAAACTTTAAAAACATAATATATCTTTGTTTGTTGTTGTATAGTTATTATTATCATTAAAATAAACACTATTTGATCTATTTTATACAAGCATCAGCACTTTCTTCACATTTATTTTCATTTTTTCATTTACTTTTTTAAAATTTCAGGCATATCAACAGGAATCAGTCAGTCCCAGAGTCAGGGCTAAAAATGGGGAAGCAGCGTTTCAAATTTATGTCTTCCCGAAAATGTGAACTACTCCTACTCCATCTCCTACTCCATCTACTACTCCATCTCCTACTCCATCTCCTACTCCATCTCCTACTCCATCTCCTACTCCATCTCCTACTCCATCTCCTACTCCATCTCCATCTCCTACTTCATCTCCTACTTCATCTCCTACTCCATCTCCTACTCCATCTCCTGCTCCATCTCCTGCTCCATCTCCTACTCCATCTCCTACTCCATCTCCTACTCCGTCTCCTGCTCCATCTCCTACTCCATCTCCTACTCCATCTCCTACTCCATCTCCTACTCCATCTCCTACTCCGTCTCCTACTCCGTCTCCTACTCCATCTCCTGCTCCATCTCCTACTCCATCTCCTACTCCGTCTCCTACTCCGTCTCCTACTCCATCTCCTGCTCCGTCTCCTACTCCGTCTCCTACTCCGTCTCCTACTCCGTCTCCTACTCCGTCTCCTACTCCGTCTCCTGCTCCGTCTCCTGCTCCGTCTCCTACTCCGTCTCCTGCTCCGTCTCCTGCTCCATCTCCATCTCCTACTCCATCTCCTACTCCATCTCCTACTCCATCTCCTACTCCATCTCCTACTCCATCTCCTACTCCATCTCCTACTCCATCTCCTACTCCATCTCCTACTCCATCTCCTACTCCATCTCCTACTCCATCTCCTACTCCGTCTCCTGCTCCATCTCCTACTCCATCTCCTACTCCATCTCCTACTCCATCTCCTACTCCATCTCCTACTCCGTCTCCTACTCCGTCTCCTACTCCATCTCCTACTCCGTCTCCTACTCCGTCTCCTACTCCGTCTCCTACTCCGTCTCCTACTCCATCTCCTGCTCCATCTCCTACTCCGTCTCCTACTCCGTCTCCTACTCCGTCTCCTACTCCGTCTCCTACTCCGTCTCCTACTCCGTCTCCTACTCCGTCTCCTGCTCCGTCTCCTGCTCCGTCTCCTGCTCCGTCTCCTGCTCCGTCTCCTGCTCCATCTCCATCTCCTACTCCATCTCCTACTCCATCTCCTACTCCATCTCCTACTCCATCTCCTACTCCATCTCCTACTCCATCTCCTACTCCATCTCTTACTCCGTCTCTTACTCCGTCTCTTACTCCGTCTCTTACTCCGTCTCTTACTCCGTCTCTTACTCCGTCTCTTACTCCGTCTCTTACTCCGTCTCCTACTCCGTCTCCTACTCCATCTCTTACTCCATCTCTTACTTCATCTCTTACTCCATCTCTTACTCCATCTCTTACTCCATCTCTTACTCCGTCTCTTACTCCGTCTCTTACTCCGTCTCTTACTCCGTCTCTTACTCCGTCTCCTACTCCGTCTCCTACTCCATCTCTTACTCCATCTCTTACTTCATCTCTTACTCCATCTCTTACTCCATCTCTTACTTCATCTCTTACTCCATCTCTTACTCCATCTCTTACTCCATCTCTTACTCCATCTCTTACTCCATCTCTTACTCCATCTCTTACTCCATCTCTTACTCCATCTCTTACTCCATCTCTTACTCCATCTCTTACTCCATCTCTTACTCCATCTCTTACTCCATCTCTTACTCCGTCTCTTACTCCGTCTCTTACTCCGTCTCTTACTCCGTCTCTTACTCCGTCTCCTACTCCGTCTCCTACTCCATCTCTTACTCCATCTCTTACTTCATCTCTTACTCCATCTCTTACTCCATCTCTTACTTCATCTCTTACTCCATCTCTTACTCCATCTCTTACTCCATCTCTTACTCCATCTCTTACTCCATCTCTTACTCCATCTCTTACTCCATCTCTTACTCCATCTCTTACTCCATCTCTTACTCCATCTCTTACTCCGTCTCTTACTCTGTCTCTTACTCTGTCTCTTACTCCATCTCTAAAGCTCCTTCCACACCGCCGACGCTGGAACGCTGACGCCTTGGGACAAGACGCACATTCCCTAGTTTTCAGACGCAGGGGGCTTTAAACCAGAAGTCCTGGCCGGTGGTGGCGAGCGCCGGAAGTGGCGGAAGGAGCGGGAAGACTTTGATGCAAACGGAGTTAAGCTAATGACTTTTTGTGTAAAGTTCTTCTCCAATAATGCAGCTCTGCAGCGTCTCTGTGTCCAGAGACCTTCCAGAGACTTTATATAACAGTAGTATGTGTTCACGGAGGTGCGCCATACGGTACTTCCGCATCGGCAAAGTAGTTGCATAAAGTCACGGGAGCATGAAAACACATATGTTCACAAGCACAGTATCCCACATCGTCAACCCTTGGTTTAGTCCTGGTTTAGTCCTGGTGTAGCTCCCGTTTTGGCCGTTTACAGTACAGTATGTTCAGTCTGCTCGCTGAACGCAAACGCAACGCATGATACGGTCTGAACGCGGCTTTACTCCATCTCTACTCCATCTTTACTATAACATAAGATAAGAATTCCTTTATTCGTCCCACAGTGGGGACATGTCGATGTTGCAGCGCACAGACAGGACAGTAGTAAGAGCACACAGGGAGCACACAATATATACAATATATTCTATGTTCTAATTCAAGTACAAATCAGTTCTGTTTAGCTGCAGACAACTGAAGGATTTTATCTTTACTCTTTTTAATGTGCTGTGATAATTTATGATTTTAATGCCTTTTGTGACTGTTTCTATCTTGTTTTGTTACACACTTTGAGTTGCCTTGAGTATGAACTGTGCTGTAAATAATAAACAGGCCACTTAGCTATTGAAGAGAAGACATTATTGAGCCTAACTCATAATGCTTAAATCTTGCCCATCAAAGACACAGTGATTCTAGCCAAACACAGAACACATGATTATTTTTTGCAGTGTACATGTACAAAGCGTGATCGTTAGTCCAATCACAGCACTTTCTTTGAGCTTATATCTGTTAGAAATAAAAGGACTTGGACCAATCTGAAAGTACTCGAGTCCTGGAACATGGCAGCTCTAAACGCAGATCAAAAAGGTGCAAATATCTCGGAAAAAAACAGCGCTGCGGTTATTTACGTCTCGCATTAAAAACTTAAATGTTTTTTTTACAAGTCGGCTCCGTGACGGCACCTGTCAGCGCACTTTTTGGCACCTTTGTAACTCGGTCTGTCGCCAACGGAGACGAAAGAAAATAACGCTGTGAGGGAGGTGTTTACTGTGAAAGGGACAAGTTTAGAGACAAAAGCAAATGGAGATCTGAGGAAGTATTGGAACGGAAATGATGAGAGTGGAGTTCAAACGAAGACATGGGTTATGTTACGGAAACGTGTTGTCGGAAACATGGAAGACAAACGCGGAAACAGTAACGGGAGAGAAACTAAAACTAATGACAAAAAAACATGGAACAGGTCAGATCGCAAAGCTGTCTGACAGAACTGAATAAGACCAAATGTTTTAGCTCAACTTGATATAACTAAATATTTAAAAAAGGATCCACGGCTGTCATAGATCACACACAGGAGACAAATGGGTTTTTATGGCCTTTTTTAAAGTTGTAATGATTTATATTTACTCCACTCAGGTCCCTTTGTCTGCCAGAGAGCAACACAACTCAAAAAGTTAAGGGAGGATTTGGAGACATTCTGGTTACTGATTCTGATTTGTTTGGATGCCGGATTGTTTTTTAACCAACTGTGTGTATGGAAAGGGTTAGGCCAACTTTAATGTGCACAATTGATCACAGTACAGTTATTAAAAATATATCTATTTTGGGCCAAAATAATCAATAATCAGAATCAGAACCACAAGCTATTAGTCTGAACTGCGACGTTACTGGTACAGTAGTCTGCTGTAAATATGTATGTTTATTTTTTTTATCTGGACCTTGCGTCTGTAATATAGTTTATTAATAATCAAAGCAGAGTCTTATGCAGAAACTATAAAACAACTTATACAAAGTCATATAAAAAAACAAAGAAATGACAGTCTTATAGTTGTCTTATAGTTAGTATTGTCCCCTGAGGGAAATTCATTTTCACAAACACTGTCACTTACAATTTACAATAGACACGAGATACACAGAAAAAACACACACATGCAACACAAGAAAAAGGGCAAAATTACAGACTGTTAAGAGCTTACAAAACTCTAACTAAATCTTGCCCGCTTCCATCTTAATGTTCTGTATTTGCGTCCTGAGGGCAGCAGAGTGAAGTGGGTGAGGAGGGGATGGTCCGGGCCATGCGTGTTACTGCTGTGAGGCTGAGTTATGAGAGGTCTGTGGTGGGGAGACGGATGATTTTGGATGGATCGTACAAATAGTGGCGCCTGTTCATCGTCTTTGGCAAAATATGGAAATAAATATACCACGAGCGGGGCTTATTTTAAAGGAAAAGAACAGCACCTCTTGGCTGAGGTCTGCTCTCTACGAGTGCTTTTCCAATTATGTTCAAGTTGATGTTATCCTGGACCTGTGTGTTTGTTATAGATATGTTCCAAAATGTGATAAATCCATGCCAAATGTGACATGTACATTTCTCTGTGTGAGATTAATAAAGTATATCTTATCTTATCTTATCTTAAAGTAGGATTACTTTGATCATGTTCTGATTGTGAGTTCCTCTGATGGAGAATAAAGCAGGAGTCAAACCTGGAGCCGTCTGGAAACATCAGGACGCCGCAGCCGTTGAAAAGTCCGTTCTCAAACTGTCCCGTGAAACAGGTGCCATCACTGAAGGTCAGCTGCCCCAGACCGTGACGCAGCCCTGAGGGACACACACCACCATGAGATTAACAAACACTGTCATTTGTGTTAAAAATATGAGGTTAGAGAAGCCAGTCAAACTCTGTGCCATTTGCAGCAAAACCCCTTTGGAATACATGTGCAAGTCTCAGTGCGCACCAGACAAATGTTTTAGAGGTTTCAGCAAACATATTTTTGTTTGTCCCAACAGAAAGATTCTTGTCAAAGTAAAATGTTGTGAACAATTCAGACCACATCTCTCTTCATCATATTAGAAAAAATATATATTTTTTTCTTAGTAAGTAATCTTTATTTATATAGCGCATTTCACAGACCAAGGTCACACAAAGCACTTTACAATATTTTGGAGAAATATTGGCAAAATAAATACCAAAATAATATACCAACCATTTTTATTTATTTTTTATTTATTACTTTATTTCAGGCAATGGCACAAGTGAGAAAACGTGGTAATAAAATGCAATTAAGTAATATAAATAATATAAAGCAAAAAACAAAACAGACAATCACAATAAACAAACAAACAAAAAAAACAGTGTAAACAAAAAATGTATAAACAAAAATCTATGGTTTAACATGGCCATATATTTCTGCCTGAAAAGGAGTGGGAGGAAGAAAAAACTTATTTAATCCCACCCCTATATCCCCATTTCAGTGATTAAACGATCAACTTCACTGTTACAGTTCAAGCCAGTATCATACCAGAGTGGCGTTATCACGGGCAACAAGGACATTTACATTGTAACAACAGTTACCAACAATGGTAATAGAAAATATACCAACAATGGTAATGAACAAAAAAGAAAAAACAACATACATACAAAACAACAACAACATACATACAAAAACAACCATTAACTCACTCATTACTTTCAAACCTACAAGATACAAGAATTTATTTGCCATTTGCAGTAAAACCACATTGGAAAAACCGTGCAAAACTACCCCAGTGTGCACCAGACGGCACACACTAGAGCTCTTGCCACGGCGCCATTTTTAAGGCGCCATGCAAACCAATTGTACATGTTTAAGTGGTGAGAAACCGGAGCACCTGGAGGAAACATGCCAACTCCACACAAAAACGCCCGGAGGTGGATTCGAACCCAGGACCCTCTTGCTGTGAAACACAAGCTCTATGGGCTTCACATGTCCTTATTCATTCACTCCACACACGTTGGTGATAAACTACAACTGTAGCCACAGCTGCCCTGGGGCACACCGACAGAAGCAATGCAACCAGTATGTGCCATCGGCCCCTGCGACCACCACCAACCATTCACACACACACCAGACTCATTCGAGGCAGTGTGAGTGAAGTGTCTTGCCTAAAGACACAGCGACAGTTTGGTACTTTACAGCCGCAGCCGCCCCACTGTGGCCCCTGGTGTTCCCAAAGGTCTCCCATCACAGCACTAACCTGCACAGCTAGAGACGTCGGACAGGATCTGGCTTTCACATGCAGGTATGGCCACATATTTTTTTTTTTGTGGTTTTAAAATTTGCTTTAAATAGCCCCTGATTCTGACTCAAACCGATCATTGAGAGAGAGGGAGTTTAGGATTTGGAGTCGGGAGACGGAATTGTTAGAGAAAGGAGTGAAGGAAAAAGGGCATTATTTGTCAGAGAGTCCAATTTTAAGGAGTTAAAATGCATGTTATTTGACACAGCTTCAAACTTGTGCAAATAAAGGACAAAAACAAAGATATATTTAGGATAAGAGGATAAAACAGTGTTCATAATATTTCAAAAATGGTGGACGTAAAATCCCCAGAGGCCCAAAAGTCCATGCAAACACAGTAACACTTCAAAATATGACAATCAAACGACGTGTGAATATAAAGCAATAACAAAAACTATGGACCAAAATGTACAGAAACCAAAGAGGACTTGATAAGAACTGACAGAGACCCTGTTTGTTAACCGCAGCAGGAGCAAAATTCAGTTTGGCATTTGTAGAAAAAGTGATGTTCTCTGCGTTTGTGGCGACGCAAAGTTAAGACATAAAACAGTTTTCAGACGCGCAAGTTTGAACAGAATATATAGGTCAGTGAAGTCCATCAAAAAACATGTGAAAATATGGCTTAAAGCTTTACGCATCTGCAAGAATGGGAGAAAAATACAAAGAAATGAATGATTTAAATTGACAATTTTCAAACAGATGTATCAAATTTGATTAGATTTGAAATTAGGGCTGAAAATAACACATATTTTGATATTTGAGGAGTTGGCTG